AGAAGTTACAGGCAGAAAATACTGCCTAAACATTTTTAGGGGACAGGATCGATCCGTTTAAACCTCTTGTGAGGAAGATTGTGTTACATGCAGAGCCTTTTAAGGGAATAGAAAGAAACCATGTTCCTTATGAGACTCTTAGTTTCACTCTCTAGGTTATAATAATATGGAGGAAAAATTACTTGTTTTAAGATGTTCATAATGATTAGTCAATTTTCCACGTACGGAGTTAGGGTAAAAATACAAACATGACACCTGTCAGTGCCTACTCAACCTGTGATTTCTGAAGTTTCTAGAAGAGATCGGTGTTCTCCAACTGGGGGTCACTGGAACTTCTCTCTTCATAGGAGACCTGACTTCCATTTTCCTCTGATGCTCAGGCACAGCCCTCGGATGTTGACATCATCAAACTTCCTCCTTCGCCTTGGGGGGGAGGCAAACAAAATCCATATTTCAATTCCATTTTTTCACTGGGAGGAGAGAGGAGCAGGTAAAACCCATATTTCCACTTCATTTTCTTTATATAGTTTGATCTCATTGTATCTAAATAATGACTTCTTAGCAACACTTTCTTTTCACACGTGGGCTCTGCATCTTGATTTAGATGATCTCCACGGAAATACCTTTCCTTCCTTCCTGGCCATCTGTTTCAGTTGGACCATCATCCACCCGGGATCTATCAAGAACCGGGCACCGCTCTGATTTCACACACGTTTCTAATCACTCTTTCTAACAATCCGGGCAAGCACACAGGGCAGATGTCACGGACAGGCCACCTGGGCGGGCGCTCCGGCCCAAGCTTAGCAGGGCCCCATGCTGGGTTCTTTAATGTCCTCTTGTCACTGCCTTGAAATTCTTAACCATGTTTGTTCGTGGGCCTGCATGTTCGTTTTGCACTGGGTCTTGCAGATTCTGGAGGGAGTCCTGCAGAAATGTCCTTTAATTCTCGCTAACAAATGAAGAAAGGAACGATTGGAACCAGTGAGCCGCTCATCTAGCACAGGGACTCACCACGGGAGCAGCTGAGAGGAGTTGTCACCTTTGCAGAGAGGCCCTGCAGCCTGTCTTCCACAGTGAGGGCTGCTCTCCATGCCCCCGAGGAGAACACAGCGTGGGCCCCAGTGGCACTGCCGTAGGGAGGGCAGGTTTTCCAGATGCTGGGGAAGCACAGCTACTTTCCGCATTTCAGTAAATTCTCGTTTCTTCTTGTTGACCTCGGACAGCCCTGCTGGATAGGAGGTGGGGACAGGCACTGGGGACAAACATGGCTCAAACACACTTTCAAACACGACGCACAGCCCCGATGAAGCCAGCCCTTTAGGCTCAAGTCCCACATTCCCTGCAAATGAGTGTTCTGTACTGAAGGACAATTTCCTCCTCACTGAGGCCTTTCCTGTGGCCCCTCAGCCCCTGCCCCTGTCCCCAAGGCTGCCCAGGGTGCGCCGGGCACTGGGCGACTGTGACCCCGCTGGGACATCCGTGCTCAGGGGCAGAACAATGATGCCATTTTCCTCACTGAAAGGTCTTTTTTCAAAGCAAAATAAAATGCCCAGAGTTCCAGGACCTTTGTTTTTTGGCTGAAATGTCTCTGTCCTCCCAGCAGGCTCCTGTTTTGTGACAATTCTTGCCAAAAGGTTTTGACAGGCTTGGCTCCCCAGTGACCACTCCCTGGGACGGGCCTGTTGCCCACCGATAAAATGAGAGGTGCCGCCCAAGATCTCTGTCCTCTCAGGGCTGTGCTGTTAAAAGTCTCCATTGTGTGTCATCCTTTATCTCCCCACAGCTGCTGCCTGGGCGAGTGAAACATCTAATGCCTTGCTTCTTGTTTTAAGTGATTTTTCAACTAATAGCAGCAGCCAAGTAGCCAGATGGAAAGACAAGGGTTAATGCAGTGACTGAAAGGTCTTTACAGTCGAGGCTGCTGGAAAAACACAAAAGAGAAGTTGTTTCCCCAAGAAGAGGAAGGGGCGCTTGCTTTGAAACTTCCTTTGCTCCACTGTCCAGTTTGCACCATAGGCCAGGATGACGGTGGGCAGCTTTGCACAGCTGGTGTGAAGCCGCCCCTGCCATTGACTGCATCTGTGTTACATGTTTGAGAATGGAAGGTGGCTCTAGGCAGTGCTGGCTGCAGGGAATGGGACACTCACTTAGCTTAGTGCCCTGGGGTCCTGGGCTTGGCCATCTGCATGATTTCTTCACAATGGGACCCACATCTTCGTTTTGCTTTGAGTCCCATGGATTTTGTCCTCCACCCTGCCCATCAGTGTTTCCTACCAACACTAAGGCTCAGCACGGAAGGCCCCAAACTCCTTTTCTTTATGATATGAAATCACTGTGTCTCCTACTTAAAATTAGAAGATGTTATGTACGTGTGCACTATTGTGTGTATATGTCTGGTTTTTTCTTTTTTTTTTTTTTCCTTTTTTACTTTCCAAGCCTTTTCTTATTGATATATATTAGATGTACATATTTGGGGGTACATGTAATAGTTTAATACATCCATTTACTGTTTAGTAATCCCATTCAGTAATCAAACGATAACTGGGATATCCATCACCTTAAATATTTATTTTTTAGTTACACTGTGTCTGTTTTTAAAGAGGTGCTTGTGAATCAGAGAAAAGAATACTGGCAGGTGTATTTTGAATTAGAGTGATAAAAATAATAGAAAAACTTCCGAGTGAATTTCACATCCATTTGTAGTCATTTTTGCTCAGTTTGTTCCAATGTAATGTGATATTTCTCACCTTCACCTGGAAGGTCATGTTCTTAGATTAGATTTCAGTTTATTCACTCTGTGCATGATACAATGGGTGGTCTGTTCCTCACAGGTGCACACTGAAATGCAGGTGCCTTCCCCATGTTGTTAACATCACAGCTCCAACCTCTACTACCAGGAAGCAAAAGGCTCACTTTTTTTTAAGTTGCAAATTTTGGTAAATTTTTCACTTTTTTTTAAGTGGTAAATTTTCTTTAAAGGGATTCTGTATGGAGCCATGGACCGTGCAATCTATGTGATGGGCATGCTCGCCTTTCTATGTAAAGGACACTAGATTTTAGAACACATGCAGGTAGGGAAGTGGCTGCATTATAAGAGGAAGAAGAAGGGTGGCAGGAGAGAGAACCGATGTTCCTCATGGCTCCATGTTCCAAAGCTGGCCCCAGGGCAGATAAGGAGAGGGAATTTGAGACTCGACCTTCATCTTGGTATTCGTCCCGCAGTTCTAGGGTCTGGTTTGCCAGATCCTATAACGTGGTTGGGGGGGTGGTTTGCACACTTCTTGTGTTAAGGATGCGATCGTGTCTATTTCAGTCTTTGTGCACTATAATGTCTCAGTTGCTGCTACTCAACTCTGTGGCCACTGCGTGAAAGCAGCACGGGCACCGTAAACCAATGAGTGTAGCTGTGTTCCAACAGCAACAATAAAAATAACAGCAACCTGCTCCTCATCCTTGTCAGACAGGGCGGCCCTGATAGCTCAAGCACAAGGAATGATCAGTTGTTTTATTTTTTTTTTTTACACTCTGCCATGGTGAGAGAAGGACCTAAAAAAGTCCATGCAAGGAAGTAAATGGTAAATAAGCTTCATTTATCACCATCCCTGAGACATACATGTCTGTGCTCAGGTGGCGTGGGTGGAGGGTTAAGAAGAACTGAAGGAGGCGTGGCTCTGTTGGACTCGAGACAAATGCATGAAGCCTCAGTTTGTAGTGGATGAGCCGGTGAGGGCCTGTGAGGCCTTTGCATTTCTTCTGCTCCTGCCACACAGACCGTGCCTCCTCTTCCACCAAAGGCCAGTCAACTCCCTCTCAAGGAGTGGACGATGCTCCCCAGAAGGATTCTCTGAAAAGATGCAAATCTATTAGGGGGTGCTAATTTAATTTAATTTAGCATTAAATAAATTAGATCCAGCAGGAGACAATGAAAAGCAGCTTCTTTCTTCCCCAGCTCTGTCCCTCTGCTGGCCTTTCCTCCCCGGAGATGGAATTCCAAGTAGGTTCCTGGAGGGACGGACATAGACACCACTGGGTCTCCTGCTCATGAGGCCTCTGGATAGACTCCCTCTCAGCTGAGGGACCCAGTTGTCATGCGAGAGGCCCACATCCAGTGAGTGCGTACTGTACTCCCATTGTCAGTAAAAGGGTATGGCCTCTCTCCCTTCTGGAAGATCCAGCCAGACTCACCGTTATCCTTTTTCAGGCATAAGTCAAATATTAGTCACTTCTTCCTCAAATCCCAGGGGATGTGGCTCAAGCTCTTTAACTGTTTTTTTTTTTTTTTTTTTTTTTGAGGCTTATGTGACTTATCCTGAGGTGAGGAGGGAGCAATTCCCTTCTCCCATGGGGTAAGCAGAGCCAGGGCAGGTGCTTTCTGAACCTCCTATGCCCCTCACTGCTGACATTGTCACCTTCCCATACATCATGGCGAGGTTGATGGTGCAGTAGCTCTGCCCACGGCACTCCCTGGTTCCCCTGTCTCCACAGCCTGAGTAGAGTGTCCAGCAGCCGTCTGCGGAGGGTGAAAGTCCTTTGTGCCTGTAATTGTTGTTTGTGGTGGTAGTGCTACCGTTGGGAGCTTCTGCTGAAATGCTCAGGACAACAAGAGAAGCACGTCTAGCACCCAGTTACATCTGCAAAAAGCCACAGCAGAAGAGCCAGCAGCTTTGCAAATGAACATGCACAAATTATTTTGCTTCTGTTTTGCTTTCTAGGTACCAGTAAGATAAGACAGAAGATGAAGAAAGGAGATAAGAGAAAAAAAAGATGTCTGATTAAATGAGGTAAGCAAAAGCTTGCCTATCTCTTCATTATGATTAAAAAAAAAAAGTATTTCGCTTTAAGACATGTTTGTAACTGCTAACAAAAATAATCAGAGGAGGGAAAATGTGCCTTTGTAATATTTCTGGGCTTTCTTTATGTTCTTGAACTGTTCTTATCATTTCTCTATGAGCTTGACCTGCAGCAGGTAAGAAACAGAGCCTAATGGAGCAGCACCTTACCTTCATGTCATCAATTCCAGTAGCTGGTCCTTGGCTCACACTGAAGAAAGAGAATGAAGCACCACTTCCTGAGAAGAAGGGTTTGTTCTGAGACAGAATTGATCTCCTGTATGCTGCCAAGACATTATGTAATTAAGTGCTCTACATTTAATGTATGCACGGTGTCTTGGGGCTGCCATCATCTTTGACAAAACAATATGCTCTTTAAATGTCTACTTTTGCAGCATGCAGTGGCTCATGCCTGTAATCCCAGCACTCTGGGAGGCCAAAGAAGGTGAATTGCTTGAGCCCAGGAGTTTGAGACCAGCCTGGACAACATGAGACCCCATCTCCACAAAAAAATACAAAAATTAGCCAGGCATGATGGTAGACACCTGTAGTCCCAGCTACTCAGGAAGCTGAGGTGAGAGGGTTGAGTGAGTCTAGGAGGTGGCAGCTGCAGCATATGGCACCCCTGTGCTCCGGCCTGGGTGACAGAGTGAGACCCTGTCTCAAAACAAACAAGCAAACAAATACCTACTTTGGGAAATACATATTTATAAACATTATGACCCAATACAGGTATCTCTTTCTAATCCAAAGATTGCTTGTAGTCTGTGTTCTAAATCATTCCACCTTCTCTTGGAAGCATCCTATGATCTAGGTGTAGACTGTTTTCAGATAGAACATCTTTTCTGGGGAGAGAGAATGTTTACATATCACATTGAATATCAGTTTTGTGGTATACAAAACTTGAAAAGTTAGAAGGACAGTTGTGGCTGAGCTCACCATTCTGAGGGTCTGCCGTTTGGGTTGGGTTCAGCTGGGTGATTCTTCTGCTGATCTTCCCTGGCTTGCTCAGGCAGCCTTGGTCAGCTGACACATTGACTGAGTTGGTTGTTCCTGGATGGCCTCTCTCATGGGCCACATGCTCCAGCAGGCTGGTCCTGGCTCCTTTCCATGGTGTATATGTTGTAAAAACACTAAGAAAGAGAGACAGCAAAAGCTCCAGCACTTGAGTGCTTTTGAAACTCTCCTTGCAATAGAGTCATAATTCTCCCATTGGCAAAAGCAAGGCTCATGGCCAACCCCAGATTCAAGCATGGTCATGGTGCCTGAAAAGGTTGTCTGTACCTTTTTCAGTCTACCACAGTATGCTAGTCCTATCTGTATGGGGTGAGGCCAATGACCAAATCCACTAACCCTCTAACCCTCCTCTCATTTGGGGGAAAAAAAGTGTAGCTCATTGCCACTGCTCATTTAACTTAACATAGACGAGCTCTTTGAGGCTGAGGAAAACCAGACGGACTTTCAAGGTGAAAATAAAATATAAAAACTGTTCATGGAGTTATCTCTAAACAGAACTAACATCAGAATGGTCTGAATAATCAGAATCATGTATTTTGGAAAAATTGGATTCACCAAAGGAATCATTGGTCAACAGCTATTGGAGAACAATGTTAACATCACACGTAGGAACGCTACGTTTCTGAGGATTTGGCATTTTCAGCTATCGAGAATTACCACATTTTTTAAATGGAACAATCACTACTAAAAACAGAATGCTACAAATAGAATGATGTCTTTTGTTTCCAAAGATGACATACCAGAGTGATATAAAAGTAATAATAAGAGTGAGATATTTTGCGGCAAAGTTATCACTGGGTAAACACTGCAATCACGAGCACCGCCAGCAAGTATTCTTGGGGCAAATAGGAAAAGGGTTAATTAGAATCAGGTTTAAATTTGTAATGTTTTATTTCTGTAAGATTTTTAAATTATAAAAGAAGGGCTCATTGAAAAATCTTCAAATATTAGTGAAGGACTTAACATATAAAGCAAATGTCTCTATGATGATTATAAATTTTATGTGCCAACTTGAGTAGACTGCATGGGGCGCCCAGATTAGACATTATTTCCAATGTGGCTGTGAGGGTGTTTCTGGATGACATTAGCTTTTGGATGGATGGGCGAATGCAGGAAAGCAGATGGCTCTCCTCAGTGTGTGTGGGTGCCGTGGAATCCATCTTCTGCCCTCAGACTGAGGTTTCACTGTTGGTTCCATGGCTCTCAAGTTTTAACATTCAGACTAAATTACCCATTTTCCTGGTTCTTCAGCTCACAGTCATATTATGGCCTCCATAATTGTGGCCTCCATAATCACATAAGCTTATGCCTCATAACACACACACACATACACATACACTCACACACAGAAAGAGAGAGACAGACAGACAGAGAGAGAAAGTCTCTCTGAGACTGAGAGAGAGAGAGCGCCAATAAGGTATATCACTAAGAAGACACAAAGGTGGGTCTTAGGATTTAGAGATGTTTTCCTTTCTGAATCAGAAGAAGCCTGCACGAAATCATATGAGCTACTGTTCATGGAACACTTCAAATGTGCATGGCAGAGCTTGGGTGGCTCCTCATATGTTACTCATTGAATATTCACAACAGCTCTATTCCCATCTGACATAGGAGGAGCTCAGGCCCCGAAGAGGAAAACTAACCTGCCTGGGTAGGACATGGTATCCTGTGATGCCAACCCAGGGAGCCTCATCCCAGAATCTGCGGTTTGGACAAACACATTGTGCCGCACTTTGACTTCTCACAGCTCCTCCCCTGCTTCTTTCTCTCAGTGTCTGTGGGCACCGTGGAATCCATCTTCTGCCCCAAGACTGAGGTTTCACCACTGCTTCCATGGTTCTTGGGCTTCTTTCTCTCGTGAGCCTGGATGCAGACCCAAGCTGTGATGGCCGTCCTGTGACTCCAGACAGAACTGGAGCACTGGTGACATTAGCCCTAGACTTGCTATGTCCAGACTTCTTGTTAGTTGACGAGAGCTAATTTCATTTGTTTAAGTCTTTGTACTGATTTTCTGTTACTCCATCGAAACTCAAACAAATTGCTGTGCAATTTGAATTTTTATTCACTAATATACTTCAGAGCTGTTTCCACGTGAATACCAAAGTATATGTATAGATTTATCACATTATTTATAGTGTCCAAATAGCATTCTGTCACATGGATGCCCAACAAATTATTAATTAGACTCATTAGGTATAAACATTTAGGCTGTGTTCACTTATTTGCCTTAACAACACTCTACAGACACCCTGTGTCAAGTCAAGCATCCTTCCCAGTGGTAGAAGTTGAGATTCTGGTTGATTGGAGCACGAAAGGAATTGACAAAGAGGATTTTTGGCAGTTCACAGCTAGCAGAATGGATAAAGTATAGATTTAGAAAATAGGATGAAGATGGAACCAAAAAAGAGCCCGCATCTCCAAGACAATCCTAAGTCAAAAGAACAAAGCTGGAGGCATCACTCTACCTGACTTCAAACTATACTACAAGGCTACAGTAACCAAAACAGCATGGTACTGGTACCAAAACAGAGATCTAGACCAATGGAACAGAACAGAGTCCTCAGAAATAATACCACACATCTACAGCCATCTGATCTTTGACAAACCTGAGAGAAACAAGAAATGGGGAAAGGATTCCCTATTTAATAAATGGTGCTGGGAAAATTGGCTAGCCATAAGTAGAAAGCTGAAACTGGATCCTTTCCTTACTCCTTATATGAAAATTAATTCAAGATGGATTAGAGACTTAAATGTTAGACCTAATACCATAAAAGTCCTAGAGGAAAACCTAGGTAGTACCATTCAGGACATAGGCATGGGCAAAGACTTCATGTCTAAAACACCAAAAGCAACAGCAGCAAAAGCCAAAATTGACAAATGGGATCTCATTAAACTAAAGAGCTTCTGCACAGCAAAAGAAACTACCATCAGAGTGAACAGACAACCTACAGAATGGGAGAAAAATTTTGCAATCTACTCATCTGACAAAGGGCTAATATCCAGAACCTACAAAGAACTCAAACAAATTTACAAGAAAAAAACAAACAACCCCATCAAAAAGTGGGCAAAGGATATGAGCAGACATTTCTCAAAAGAAGACATTCATACAGCCAACAGACACATGAAAAAATGCTCATCATCACTGGCCATCAGAGAAATGCAAATCAAAACCACAATGAGATACCATCTCACACCAGTTAGAATGGCGATCATTAAAAAGTCAGGAAACAACAGGTGCTGGAGAGGATGTGGAGAAATAGGAACACTTTTACACTGTTGGTGGGATTGTAAACTAGTTCAACCATTATGGAAAACAGTATGGCGATTCCTCAGGGATCTAGAACTAGATGTACCATATGACCCAGCCATCCCATTACTGGGTATATACCCAAAGGATTATAAATCATGCTGCTATAAAGACACATGCACACGTATGTTTATTGCGGCACTATTCACAATAGCAAAGACTTGGAATCAACCCAAATGTCCATCAGTGACAGACTGGATTAAGAAAATGTGGCACATATACACCATGGAATACTATGCAGCCATAAAAAAGGATGAGTTTGTGTCCTTTGTAGGGACATGGATGCAGCTGGAAACCATCATTCTTAGCAAACTATCACAAGAACAGAAAACCAAACACCGCATGTTCTCACTCATAGGTGGGAACTGAACAATGAGATCACTTGGACTCGGGAAGGGGAACATCACACACCGGAGCCTATCATGGGGGTGGGGGGAGGGGGGAGGGATTGCATTGGGAGTTATACCTGATGTAAATGATGCGTTGATGGGTGCTGACGAGTTGATGGGTGCAGCACACCAACATGGCACAAGTATACATATGTAACAAACCTGCACGTTATGCACATGTACCCTAGAACTCAAAGTATAATAATAATTTAAAAAAAAAAGAAAATAGGATGAAGAAAAGGTTAGGCATTGAGAATCATTGCCCAAACCATGCCCAGAAACAGCAATGGGGAACTTGCCACCACCATCACCCTCACTGCTGCAGTTTGCATGGGTTCTCCATTGGCACGTGTGGGTCCCAGATGCTGCTACTTCTGTTTCTCTTAGAAAAGATACAGTTTTCCAACCACTGCCCTACATATTTTCACTGCCTTTGCTTTTTGTTTAACCATATCCAGTATAGAAATGTATCAGCAGCATGATGGACTTGAGCCTTGCTCACTTTCACACAGTTAACCGATAGACCACATCAGGAGGGCAACCATCAGCACGGGTGCCCAGCATCTTCAGTGTCTATGGTGAGTTATGGGCTCTGCTCTCACCAAGACTTACACATGGGGGGTTTCTCTAGATAGAGGAAGGAGGTTCAGACTCTGTGTAGCCAGAGTGGAAAAGAAAAGGTTCTAGGCCAGACACGGTGGCTCACACCTGTAACCCCAGCACTTTGGGAGTCCAAGATGGGCAGATAGCTTGAGGCCAGGAGTTTGAGACCAACCTGGTCAACATGGTAAAACCCCTTCTCTACCAAAAAAAAAAAAAAAAATCAGGCATTGTGGTGCAGCCACTACTTGAGCCTGGGAGGCAGAGGTTGCAGTGAACCCAGATTGAGCCACTGCACTCCAGCCTGGGCAACAGAGCAAGACTCCATCTCAAAAAAAAAAAAAAAGAAAGAAAGAAAAAGAAAGGATCTTGCATTCTCATACCTGGATCTATCTGAACTTGTGCAAGTTAATTTTCAGGGCAAGTCTTCAGAAGTGAGGCGTCTGGATCAAAGTTTTATATGCATTTCAAAATCGGGAGACGTTTCCAGATTCCTCTTACAAAAAGTTTGTACCAATTTATAGTGTCACTGCCGGTGTGTGCAAGTTCTGGTTTCTCCACACCCTCAAAACACTAGATATTTTTAGTTATTCAAATGAAAAGTTTGTATAAGAAGTACTTAAGCGCTTCAAAAAATTCTTAGTTGGACTAGTCTAATCTTGCTCTGTCTGTGATTTTATGTACTTAACACATGTGTGCTCCCTTAAAACAGTAAACAACAACATTTTCAGAGAGGAATACGTCTGTTAAGATACTAATACGTTTATTTTGAATCTTTCAGATGATTCCAAGTTTATTTTGTAGTATTGTATATACATTA